ACATTATAGTTAAGTTTGCAAAGCTCAAAGACAAAGAGAAAATTCTAAAGGCCACAAGACAAAAGCGTGAAGTCACCTACAGGGGAACTCCCAACAGACTAACAGCAGACTTCTCCAGTGAAACCTTACAGGCCAGGAGAAAGTGGAAGGATATATTCAAAACAGTAAAAGAAAAAAATTACCAGCAAAGAATTCTTTACCCAGTAAGGCTCTCCTTCAGAAATGAGGGAGAAATAGTATATTTCCCAGAAAAATAAAAGTTGTGGGAGTTCACCACTATATATCCAGCCCTACAAGAAGTTCTAAAGGGAGTCCTTTATCTGGAATCTGAATAATGATAACCACTGTCACAAATACACAAGAAAGAGCAAAACCCACTGATAAAACAAAAATGCCAGCAAGAAAGAGAAAGAAGCAAAATCACACCACCTCAAATTTCCAACTAATGCTGCAGAAGAGAAATAAAAGAGGAAGTAATGATCAAAAGATATTTAAATCGTGTAAACAAAAAGCAATTAAGTAACAGGAATTAAACAATACTGGTCAATAACTACTCTAAATGTGAATGGATTAAACTCTCCATTCAAAAGACACAGACTGACTGACTGGATTAGAAACCTAGACCCAAGTATATGCTGTTTTTGAGAGACCCACCTCACATATAGAGACACACACAGGCTAAAAGTGAAGTGATCTGAACACCTCTCTCTCAGTATGGGATAGATCTTCCAGGAAGCAAATCAACAAAGAGACACAGGATTTGATCCACACCTTAGACCAACTGGGCCTGGCAGATATATACAGAACATTTCACCCAACGACTAAAGAATATACTTTCTTCTCATCAGCCCATGGAACATTCTCTAGGATAGACCACATATTAGGCCACAAATCTAATCTCAGCAAATTTTTAAAAAATTGAAATCATTTAAAGTATCTTGTCAGAGCACAATGGACTAAAACTGGAAATTAATAATAAGCAAAATTCTGGAAAATATACAAATACATGGAAACTAAACAATAGGCTGTTGAACAACCTATGGGTCCAAGAAGAACTTAAACAGAAAATCAAAAAATTTCTTGAAACTAATGAAAATAAAGACACATCATACCAAAACCTGTCGGATACTGCAAAAGCAGTACTATGAGGCAAATTTATTGCAATAAATGCTTACATCAAAAGAATGTAGAGACTTCAAGTAAACAAACTAACATAATGTCTCAAAGAACTTGAAAAACAACAACAATCCAAACCTGAAGGTAGTAGACACAAAGAAATAATTAAGATCAGAGAAGAGCTAAATGAAATACAGACCTAAAAAGCAATAGAAAACATCAGTGAAACAAAAAGTTGGTTTTTTGAGACGACAGACAAACAATTAGCTAGGTTAACAGAAAAAATAAGAGAGAAGACCCAAATAACAAAAATCAGAAATGAAAAGGGAGACATTACAACTGATATCACAGAAATAAGAAGAATCATTAGAGACTATTATAAACTACTGTATGGCAACAAATATGAAAATCTGCCAGATATAGATAAGTTTCTAGACACATACAAACTACCCAGACTAAACCAAGATGAGACAGAAAACCTGAACAGTCCAATAACAAGCAACAAGATTGAAGCAGTAATTAGCAATCTTCCGACAAAGAAAATTCCAGGTCCGGATGGCTTTACACCTAAATTCTATCAAACTTCCAAAGAGCAGTTAATACCAATTCTCCTCAAACTATTCCAAACAATTGAAATGGAAGCCACTCTCCCAAACTCATTCTATGAGGCCAACATAACTCTGATGCCAAAACCAGATAAAGACACAACAAAAAAAAAGAAAATGACAGGCCAATATCCTTGATGAACATACATGCAAATATCCTCAAAAAGGATTAGCAATCAGAATACAGCAATACATTAAAAAAATTATACACCATGATCAAGTTGAATTCATCCCATGCATTCAAGGACAGTTCAACATATGAAAGTCAATAAATGTAATACGGGCCGGCCCGTGGCTCACTCGGGAGAGTGCGGTGCTGATAACACCAAGGCCCCGGGTTCGGATCCCACATAGGGATGGCCGGTTCGCTCACTGGCTGAGTGTGGCGCTGACAACACCAAGTCAAGGGTTAAGATCCCCTTACCGGTCATCTTATGAAAAAAAATAAATAAATAAATAAATGTAATACATCACATCAACAAACTCAAGGACGAAGACCACATGATTATCTCAATAAATGCTGAAAAAGCATTTGGCAAAATTCAACATCCCTTCATGATAAAGACTCTCAACAAATTAGGTATAGGCGGAAAGTATCTCAACACAACTAAAGCCATCTATGACAAGCTCACTGCCAGTATCATTCTGAATGAGGAAAAACTGAGGGCCTTTCCCTTAAGAACAGGAACAAGACAAGGATGCCCACTCTCACCACTTCTATTTAACATAGTACTGGAAGTACTAGCCAGAGTGGTCAGGCAAGAGAAAGAAATAAAGGGCATCCAGATTGGAAAACATGAAGTCAAATTGTCTCTATTTGCAGATGACATGATACTATATGTAGGAAAACCTAAAGACCATCAAAAAACTCCTAGACCTGGTTAATAACTTCAGTAATATTGCAGGATACAAAATAAATGCCCCCGAATCAGTTTTATTTATATACTCAAATAATGAACAAACAGAAAGAGAAATAAAGAAAGTCAGCCCATTCACAATTGTGATGAAAAAAATAAAATGCCTTTGGATCAATTTAACCAAGGAGGTGAAATGAGACCTACAATGAGACCTACAAACCACTACTGAAAGAAATTAAGGAAGATACAAAAAGATGGAAAGATATTCCATGCCCTTGGATTGGAAGAATTAACATTATGAAAATGTCTATGCTACCCAAAGGGATCTAAAGATTCAATTCAATCCCCATGAAAATACCAATGACATTCTTCACTGAAATGAAAAAAAAAAATCTTAACTTTCGTATGGAACAAGACCCCGAACAGCCAAAGCAATCTTTAGCAAAAAAAATAAAGCTGGAGGCATAACACTACCTGACTTCAAATTATATTACAAAGCTATTGTAACCAAAACGACAGCATGGTACCTGCTTAAAAATAGACAGACCAGTGGAGCAGAATAGAGAACCCAGAAATCACCCCAACACTTATGGCCATCTGATATTGGAAAAAGGCAACAAAAACCTACATTTTGGAAAAGACTACGTCTTCAATAAGTTGTGCTGGGAAAATTGGATATCCATATGCAGAAGAATGAAACTAGACATGTATCTCTCACCATATACTAAAATCAACTCAAAACAGAGTAATGAAACTAGACATGCATCTCTCACCATACACTAAAATCAACTCAAAACAGAGTAAAGACTTAAGTATAAGACCTGAAACTATAAAATTAGAAAGGAAAAATGTACGTGAAACACTTCAGGAACTAGGTCTGGACACAGACTTTACAAACATGAGCCCCAAAACACAAGCAACAAAAGAAAAAATAAACAAATGGGGCTATATCAAACTGAAAAGCTTCTGCACAGCAAAGGAAACAATCAACAGAGTGAAACAACCTACAGAGTGGGAGACAATTTTTGCTTACTATGCATCTGACAAGGGATTAATATCCATAATATACAAGAAATTTGAGCAATTACACAGTAAAAAAACAAACAACCCAATTAAAAAATGGGCAAAGGAGCCGAATAGACATTTTTCAAAAGAAGACATACAAATGGCCAACGGGTACATGAACAAATGCTCAACATCCCTAGTCATCAGGGAAATTCAAATTAAAATTACACTGAGATACCATCTCTACCCAGTTAAAATGGCTATAATCAAAAAGATGGTGTATAACAAATGCTGGCAAGGGTGTTTGGAGAAGGGATCGCTCCTTTACTGTTGGAGGGACTGTAAATTTGTACAACCACTATGGAAGACAATATGGAGGTTTCTCAAACAACTATAGGTAGATCTTCTATATGATCCAGCTATCCCACTTCTGGGTATATACCCAAAGGAATGCAAATCATCATGTCGAGGGGATACCTGCACTGCCATGTTCATCGCAGCTCTCTTTACAATAGCCAAGATATGGAACCAACCTGAATGTCCACAGATGGATGACTGGATTAGGAAACTGTGAGACATATTTATACCACGGAATACTACTCTGCCATAAAAAAGAATGAAATTCTCCCATTTGCAACAACATGGATGATCTTGGAGAAACTTATGTTGAGTTAAATAAGGAAAGCACAGAGGGATAAATACTGCATGCACTCACTCATAACTGGGAGCTAAGAGAGAAAGAAGGAAGGAAAGAAAGACCACAGTGGTGTGTTGGACTTGCAGAGGGAGAGAACATACCTTGGGATACGAAGTGGAGTGGGGGGGAAAGGGGGAGGGAGAGGGAGGTTGGGGATTATTGGGTGGGGGGCACTGGGTACAATGCTATTTGTGGTAATGGGCATGCTGCCAGTATGGATCTGGCCTTTACATCTTGGGCACAGGGGGTGACAATCAGCTCTGTATCTCATGAATATTCATAACCAAGAAAAAAAAAGAAATATGACAAACTTCATTAAGGGAGAGTACACATTGGAAATTTAATACAATGCAGAAAACAGAGACTTTTAAAATATTTCAGGGGAAAAAAAGAGGGCTCACTTGATGGTACTATATATCTAAAGTACCTGTTTATAAGAGAGCAGCAATTCTAAATGTCACTATATGGAATGAATCCAGAAAACATCACTACAATGAAGATGCAGTACATTCATTTTTCTTTCATTCAAAAAGAGAAATAGATTTCTGTGCTTAGATTATTTTTGGAATAATTAAGCAGTAATCACAAAGGACTACCATGAGTCAATAAATGTTTGTATCTCTGACAATAAAAGGAATCATGGTGTGTGTGTGTGTGTGTGTGTGTGTAATCATGGTGTGTGTGTTGGGGGGGGGGCCAAGAAAGAGATTCAAATAGTACCTTTTGCATCATCAGAACCCGAAGCCAAGAGTTTAGGATCCATCAAATTAAAGTCAACACTCCAACACCTTTTCTCATGCTCCTAGATATAGAAGGAAGACAAAGTAGACTCAGAATATAGTACAGATCTTAAAATAAAAGCAAAAAAATTTTTGATACCATATTGCTATGGGTTAAAGAAAAGAGGCTATGAAAACAAACGAAAAGCAAACTAAGATGTCAATGCAAAGTAGTTCCAAAACTTTTTATATATACATTTACTAAAATCATTGCTTTTTCATTTGATGCATTCTACAAAAACAAAAGTCTAAAAAATTGCTTCAGAAAAGCATTTGGTATTACACAGGTATTACACACATATAAAAAAATACTAAATAGAGACTTAAAATCTGTAATTATAAAGTACATGAAACTCTACGATTGTTAAAAAAGTAAAATTGTGATTTTTGCACAACTAGTATCCTTATTTACCTGATAGACCTTGGACCTCTGTCCTGTGAATCCATCCCATAGGATAACAGTACCTTCATAATCACTGCTAGCTAACAGGTTCTTATGGTAACTACTCCAACTGATACAGCTGAAAAATAGTTAAAACTTACTGTACATTAAAATAAATAACAATGGGATATAACGACTTTTAATGTTGTCACAAAAAAAGGCATTTTTTAAAAATGGTCTATATGAGTTTTACAATCATTATTCTGCTCACAACACATCTGGGAAGAGACATACCAATAATTGCTGGATTTTCTAAACTGAAACTATCAAGTAACAACCCTTACCCACTTTTAACTCTGATCACTATCTGTACAATGGATGTACATGTGTACATACTATATATGTTATTCATCACGATAAGAAAATTACAAAGATGATTGTTTTGAAAATGTTCAAAATTCTAAATAAGTTATTATCATTCCCTTTTATGCCATTTCTCATGAGAATAGCTTGGGAATCTTGTTTAAGAAAAAAAAAGGAAGCAGATTTCAGAATTCCTCTGAGATTTTTGGGGGGTAATATCAGAAGTAGTACACAATTCCTGCATTTTTAATGTTATTTAAGGTTTGAAAAGCACTCCTCATGAATTATAACCCTAATACACAAAACTTAATTACTGTTCCTCCAGTGAAAAGCAGAATGGTCTTGTGAAAAGAATTCTTAAAACTAGAAAGAATTATAATATTTAGAGATTATGTCCGTGTTAAGGAAAAAATTCCTGACTTCACACACTACTCAGAGGCTATAGTAATCCTTTATTCAACACTCTACTAACAACCATCTCCAACAAAGATCTTTGAATAAGTGAAAGAAAGAAGGATTTTCATTTGGTAATTAGAAAAACAATAAATGCTGAATCCCACAGAAGAAAGCAATCAATATCTAAAAGAAAGATATTCTGTTTTAAGTCAACAATATATCCTCCACATACACAGTATAATTATAGCGTTCACCAAGAATGAGTCATGAGTCTCAAGGAAAGGTGAAATAATAACCTCATACTAAATATATATACCAATTGTTATATACACACTGCATCATGCCAAGAAAATAAAGTAATTACCTGATTTTGGAATTGCAAGTCATTTCATTCTCAGGGTAATGAATATCCACTGCATCCTGGATGACTGTGCCATATTCATAGACTTTGATTTTTTTTGTAACCCCAGCAATTGCAAAATAGTCACAATCCCGGTCAAATTCAATACTAAGATGGGGAAGAAAGGTATATAGTTGGTCAGTAAGACTACCTAGCTATTCTTGTGACATTTACAATGATAATATTTCAGAATTTGGTATTTTCTATATCTAAAGTGATTCTGCTATAGGATAAGAGATCTATTTGAAATGTCTTCAAATTGTACTAGGCTTCATGTTCAGATTAAGTCATCAAGATATATCAAATTATAAGTGGTAGAGAACTGTGAATATCTACATAATTGTGCTTATAGCTGTACTTTTGTTCGTAGATACCTCATATGTTTTTCAGTTCAGCTCTAGTAACCATATTACAATTTAGTGAAATCAGATTTAATGGTTTGAATGGCTTCATACATCAAAAATATGTCAAAAGAAAATTACCAGTTAATTTTTTCATAAATTCTAGTTATTTCCCTTCCTACCATTTTGTGAAGATGATAGAGATTCACAGTATTTAATGTTATTTTAATAAATGAATAAGTATACAAGCTGAATCACTAAAGCAATGGGGGGACAACAAAGGGACAGAATACACATAAAAACAGAACCACTAAACTATCATTACTTTTTTCCAAATCCATTCCTAATCCCTCAAACAAACATGATCTCTCTGAATTATAAATCCCCAATATACATTCTTTATACCACAAACAAACAAGAGAAAAAACCAAAATCTCCGTGTGTTTAGAGTTACTTAGGAAATTCACCCCCGTTTTTTGTAACCTTTTTCATACAACTTCCGAAATAAGCTACAGCAAAGCAAGGCACGAAATCTTATTCGCTTTTATAGAACTTAAACCGGACCCTCAACAAAGCTGTTGTTACATAATCAGCCAGAAATCTAACTGGCCTAATCAAAGTAAAAGTTGAAATGAGTTATCCCATACATTATTTCTTAACATGATTTAAGTGTCCTTCCTAGTTAGCCATAAGGCTAGAGAATACATAAAAATTCTCACTTATGTACAATTAATGATATAATAATAGCTAACATCCATTGATACTACAGTTTCAAGGTGACCCCCAAATTTTATGTGTTGGAAACTTAATCCCCAAATTTATTTGTTAATGGTATTTGGAGGTAGGGTCTTTGGGAGGTAATAAGGATTATATAAGGTGTCCAGGGTAGAGCCCCCATCATGGGACTGGTGGCTTCACAAGAGGAAGAGACACCTGAGCTGGCATACTTTTGCCCTCTTGCTGTGTGATGTCCTCCACCATGTTAAGAGGCAGTAGCAAGGCCATCACCAGATGTGGCCCCCCAACCTTAGTTAGACTTCCCAGCCTCCAAAACTGTAAGAAAAAAATTTCTTTTCTTTATAAATTACCCAGTCTGTGGTATTCTGTGATATCAACAGAAAACAGACTAAGACAATTGACTATTCACTATTAAACACTTTGAATGTATTAACTCATTTAATTCTCATAACAACCCGGTGAGGTAAGTATTCTTACTATCCACATTTTATAGGTGAAAAAAAAATGAGGATTAGAAGTAATGTTAGCCAGCTTGTAAGTGTCTGAGATGGTATATAAAAACCAGGTAGTCTGATTTCACTGTTGATACTAATAATTACTATGCTATATCACAAACCAAAGCTCTTGTGTAAAACTCAAAGTATAAAGGCTAAAGGTTTAAAATGTAATATCGATGTGCATGAATGTGTCTTCTGTATCTATTTATGTGTGCTTATTCCCCCCAAAATGCCTAACTAGTACTCTGCATACATCAAGCATTCTCTAAAAGCAAACAAATACAAATACCTACATGACATACTTTTATTTATGGATTATCTGTCATATCCTTTTACAGAACAGTTAATGATTAGCTAATAACTTAGTAAGAAGCTTGCTGAGCTAATGATGATGGGTAAGAAAAATAAGTACACATTCACAATATTTCCCTTAAAAACACTCATTAAGATGTGTGTTAAGAAAACCAACCTTTTCATTCCAACTTTAAATCCTTAATTTTATATTAATTAAAAAAAAAATTCACTCAGTTAAGTGTCATCAACTATAGCACAATTCAGCAAATGTTCCCTCAAATAAAATATGACTGCATAGCAATGTAATAGATTTATTTGTACAACCTCAATTGAACTGCTGCCTCAGCTACTATTTGCTGCCCTGTAGATTCTAATGCAGCACAACTATATTGATGGCAACTATTCATCTACTCCAACTCAATTTATACCCACAGCCTCATGTCATTTAAGGAGAAATATTACTGTATCTGATAAAGAACAGAGTTATGAGAACTGAAATCCTGTCTTTAACTTAGGAGGTATTGGTATGGCTGACACTTTAATTGAGAACCAATTATATTATCCCTGCATACCCTTGTCTCCACCTACAAATATACATGGCAAATAAACAGCATTCCAATGTTGTACCAGTGAAAGTATACCATTACCAGGCTGGTCAGTTAGCTAACTGGTTAGAGCATGGTGTTTTAACGCTACGGTCAAGGGATCAGATCCCCTTACTGGCCAGCCACCAAAAAAACAAAAATAAAAACATGTCATTACCAAATTATTAGTTTTTAATTTAAAAAAAGTTTAAACACTAACCTATTAAAATAACAGTCCAAAGACACTGCAGGAAAAGTGACACATAAATAAAAATGCTGTCATGATATGATGACCTAAATAAGTAAATAAGTCTATTATTTCTTTTGTTGTTACCCTACTTTCTATTCAAGACAGTTCTCTCCCATTTTTCCACACAAATTATTATTTAGCTACATTAACTCACTCTTAACTCTCATACTAAAAAATTAACTTTTTGTTTTGACTTCATTGCTATTATTTTCTTACATTTTGGCTATGTTTGGTTTTTAATATACTGGAATATCAAGGACCTGTACAGTATACTTTTTAAATATTTTGGGGTACTGAAGTCCTTTATGGTTTAAAATCAGTAAGATTTTAATAGAAATACTGATCAGAAAGTATAAAGAATATTATTTCTAGTAAATTTTGATATAAAGAAAAAGGAAAACAAAGAGCTGCCTTTAAAAAAAAAACAGCTAGTGCTTCCATATCATTAGGACTCAGGATTTAAGTACTTCCCAATATCGAAACATTTGCTGCCTATTTCTTACAATTTTAATCATATCTATTTCCAAACATAAACATAATGAGACATGAGAAATAGATCATGGAATAATTCAAATGAACACAGTAGTTTTCAGGTGCAGAGAGATTTCCGGAGCTAATATAAAACGTATGGCCTTTTATTTCACGACATGGTATTTCAGCTGCTTTTATTATGAAATCTGACAACAAAAACATAGTACAAAAGTTAAACAGTGACTAGTTAGGTTCAAATAAAAGGTAAACTAATCACAATGTATCTGCTTATGCAATTAAATTCAAAAAGAATTATAAGTCTTGCTTTTATCATACAAAGTTCATCTCTGTCATTCACTATCACCAATAATTACTGAAGTAACTGGTTTACAACACTAGTACAATAATGAATTCAATTTCATTGGATTTGTTTTTAATTTCAAAACACATAAATATATTTCCTTTGGAAAAAAATATTACTGGGGATTTACTTTAAACATGGAAATAAATTGCATTTTTCTTTTACACTTTGAAATGATTCAATTGTTTAAAGAAACTGATTTGTTTCAACAGTTGAAAATGTAATTCTGCAGTAGGAAACTGACTTTATTCTTTGTCAAAAGGGCCATCAGTCAATTGATTAAGCAGCAAGGCAACATACCACATAGGACATCTGATGAATGTATACCTCCAGTACAATGTGGCACAAAACAATGCAAAGCTGTCAATATGCCCAAGCAGTGAATTTTATGTGTTCCCATTGTCATCTTTTTGCACTTATAAAATAGCTATTAACAAACAAGGTGGATTAATATCCCTGAATGCTAAAACCTGATAAATCAAATGAAAATATAAAGTAAAAGCAGTTGTTTAAAGGTCTCATTCATGACCATGATGGTGTGTGCAAGAGACACAGGTAACTATAATTTCATAGAAACAAAATATAGGTTTAAAACTGGCTATTTTAATGTGAAGAAATGGGCAGATTGTTAAAGAATACAAACACAGGTAAAATCAATTAAGAATTGATGTTATTCAACTGACTTTATCCAAAATCAATCAATAATAATAGCTAAAACTTCTATAACATACACAACACCAGTATGTGTGAAGCACTGTTTAAGCACTTTACATAAATAATAGTAAACTTCAAATCTCGATCGTACAGATAAAGAAACTTAGGTACAGTGAAGTTAAGTAATTTACCCAAGGTTACACCAGATAATTCAAATGCAACCAATCTGTTTCCACAGTATGCTCTCGATCATTATGCAAATCTGCCATTTTAATGAGAACAAATGGGCTGGTCTTAAAGAACACATACACAGGCAAAATAAACAAGAATAGTAACATAGAATAATGACATATACTATATTATATATAATGATAATAACATAATAGTTCAACCTGTGCAACAAGTTAAACAGGAGATTAAAAAAAATAATAAGATAGAATCACAGGATTTATAATTAGTAGAAAAGGTTATACCCAATATAAGCAAATGCCAGATGATAAGAAAAAATATGATACAGAAATTCAGGGGTCAATGACTACTGAGGCATACCGGAACAAAAGGATGATGCATGAATATTCTCATCCATCAAATATCCAGAGGTCCTGTTAACTGCCAGATACTGATCTACTTGATGAAAAAACCACGATTTTGAAAAAAAAAACACAACACAATATTCAAGAAATTCACAAAAATATGTATTGGGACTGCATTAATGCTAACCTGGGATATGACAATAGCCTCCTTAGCAAGTCTCCTACTCCTCACTTTCCTATTTTCTAATCCATTTTACAGACTGAATTAGAATAAATTTCCAAAAATACAACTCTGTTCATGTAATCCTCCTCATTTACTACTATGTAAAACCCAAACTCCAACTATTACAAAAGATCCTTTGCTACCTGTTGAATGTTTTCTTAA